TGTTCTATGTTGCCGCTGCATGCATGCACAGAGGGTTAACGGTGTATGGACAGCTGCAGCGCCAGCAGCGGGGTGCCTTCTTGTATATAAAACAAACCATTTAATTAATTAATTTTTTATTTAATTTAATTTAATTAAATAAAATAAGAAAATTAAAAATAATTTATATTTAACAGACATACACCTGACGCTGCCTAAGTCATGCTCGTCTGCTGCAGCAGCAGCTGTTGCTGCTAGGCATAGAGTGTTCTTGCTGCTGCTGCTGCTGTTGTTGTTGTTGTTGCAGCAGTGACAGCAGATGCAGCAGCTGCTGGAGCAGACAGACACACACTCAACGTACACCTCAACCTGTTGAGTGCTATAGTGATTTTGCTGCTGCTGCTGCTGCTGCTGCTGTTGCAGCAGCAGCCGAATTGTCTCGCCTGTCTAAGGTGTTAATACACTTCAGATTTAAGCAACAGCAACAGCAGCAGCAAACGTGCACAGCAGCAGCAACAATAACAACGGTGGGAACAACAACGGCAACAGCAGCAGCAGCAGCAGGATGGCAGCAGCAGCAACAGGAGCAGCAGAGTAAACGCGAACGACAGTGACAGCTGCAGCAGCAGCAGCAGCAGCAGCGATAGCAGCAGGTATTAGAACACCCCACAATGTTCCTTTCTGCTCTGCTTGAGGGGCGCTCTCCCGCGGCGCCGCAGCAGCAGCAGCAGCGACAGCAGCAGCAGCAGCAGCAGCAGCAAAGAGCCGACACAGGGGTCTTCTTAGAGCTACGTCAAGCTGTGCAGCACCGCAAGCAGCAGCAGCAGCAGCAGCAGCAGGAAGTGCCTACTGCTATTGGGTCATCTCCGCAGCAGCAGCAGCAGCAGCAGCCTGCTCACCACCATAAACCCCACCACCATCACCACCATCATCACCACCACCACCACAAGCAGCAGCAGCAGCAACAAGAGCAGCAGCAGCAACAACACCAGCAGCAGCGGCAGCAGCGATGGGGGTCTGATGTGTTAACTCGCTTGAAGACTGCAACAGCAGCAGCAGGGGAGGCAGCTGCTGCTGCAGCAGCCTCTCCCGCTGCTGTTGCTGCTGCTTCTGCTGCTGCTGAGGCAGCAGCAAACAAGTGGGGGGTAGAACATGGAGTTGCTGCTGCAGTGCAGCAGCAGCTGCAGCAGCAGCTGCAGCAACGTCCTTCATGGCAGGTAGTGCAGCAGCGAGTTTGCTGCGCCTCGGAAGATAGAGCAGCAGCAAGAGCAGCAGCAGTTGCTGCTGCTGCTGCTGCATGCAAAACAAAGCTGCAGCAGCAGCAGCAAACGGGGATCCTGCAAGACATGCTGCAGCAGCTGCCAGAGGAAGAGGCTGCAGCAGCCTGGCAGCAGCTGTTGCTGCCGCCACAGTGCAGCAGCAGCAGCAGCAACTGCAGCAGCATCAGCAGCATCTCCACAATCACAGGAGTAGACACTGGCCTGCAGCAGCAGCAACAGCAGCAGCAGCAGCAACTATCGCCAGCGGCCTTGGCTATGCTGGAGCAGTTGTCCTCGTGCCCTCAAGAGCAGCAGCAGCAGCAGCAGCAGCAGGGGGAATTCCTGCTGCTGCAGTCTGTTCCAACTATGCTTCAGAAGCTGCAGCAGCAGAAGCAGCAAATGCAGCAGCAACTGCAGCAGCTCGATCTCGATACCTGTGTTGACAGCCAGCAGCAGCAGCAGCAGCAGCAGCAGCACGAAGAGGACCTGCATGAGGCAGCAGCATGCATGCAGCAGCTAGGCGTACTCGTCAAGAAGCTGCAGCAGCTGCAGCTGCAATTTGCTGAGCCGCAGCAGCAGCAGCAAGGCGAGGGGCTGCTGCTGCAGCAGCTGCATGCTGCTGCTGCTGAGGCGCTGCTGCAGCGGAGGAAGGCGCTCTTCCTTGAGCAACTCTCTATTTCCCTTAAGGTCTGCTGCTGCTGCTGTTGCTGCTGCTGCTGCTCATTGTGCTGCTGCTGCTGCTGCTAGTCTTGCTCATATTGCTGTTCTACGTTTTGTTGCTGCTGCTGCCCTTGCTGCTCTGTCTGCTTCGCTTCCTGCTGCTGCTGCTGTGACATTGCCGCTGCAACTTCTGCTGCTGCTGTTGCAGCAACCCTTGCTGCTGCTGTTGCTGCTGCTGCTGCTGCTGCTGACCATATATAAACTGTTATGTTGTTTGTTTGTGTCTCCAGCTAACAGAGGAAGCAGCAGCATTACTGGATGTTTGTGAAGCAGCAGCAGCAGCAACAGCAGCAACAGCAGCAGCAACAGCAGATGGATCTGAGGGTTTCCCTTGCCTAGGAAGTAACGAGGCTTCGTTGCTGCTGCTGCTGCAGCAGCTGGGTGCTATCCTTGCTGCTGCAGTGCTGCCACCAAACAGCAGCAGCTTCCTATCAAGGCGGCTGCTGCTGCTGCTGCCGCGCTGCAGGAGGTTGCTGCTGCAGGCAGCACGCAGCGCCCTTGCTGTTTGCCATTGGGGCAGAAATGCAGCAGCAGCAGCTGCT